TTTGCTCTTTGTTATCACCAAAGCCAATGCCATTCTTGTCAGAACAAATTTGTTGAGACCTAATGATATTGTCCAAAGTCTTTGATCCTCTGTTCCAAAGACCAATGGTAGCCATAGCACACTTGAGTTCTTATTCTTTCTTGATCAGTAGTTCTTCCAAAGCAACTTGAGACATCTTGAGAGTTTCAATTTTTTCTTCATATGTTGCATAGATTTGCTGTAGCTCATTCCTCTCTGTCTCACAAGTCAAGAGTTTTGCACAAAGAGATTGTCGATCATTAGCTATCTTGATGGCATCAATCCTGGCCTCGGAAATCTCCTCCATTAGTTTGACATTCTCACTTTCACATGCTTTGAGTTTCATAGTGAGTTTGTTATTCAATTTGGATAACTTAAGAGATTCTTTATACAACTTTTCATAAGCTTGTTCAAGCTCTTCATCATCACTTCCTGAGGATTCATCATCAGTGGCATTCTCAACCGGGCTCTTCGGATACTCTGTTTGTTCTTCAGTTTCGGAAGCCGCCATGAAAGCAAGGAATTATTTGTCCCTCTTCACCTAGATCTTCGTTGTCACTTTCATCTTCATCAGATTCTGATTCATCATCCCAAGTGATGGCGAGGGCTTTCTTCTTCTTCAAACGAGTGGGGCATTCTGAAGCAAAGTGGCCAAATCCTTAGCATTCATAGCATTGGACTCTTTCAGAGTTCCCTTATATCTTTCCTTTCTCCTTCTTGGCTATATGATTAATTTTGAGTTTATCTTTGCCTTTAGATTTATAAGTATGAACAGATTCCAAAAGTTTAGGATTCTTTTTCAGAAAAGATTTTTTAAATTGTTTTATAAAAGCATCCGTAATCTTGGAGTCTATCTCATAATCCTCATCAGAATCCTCTCCAACTCTATGAGCACTACTAAAAGCAATATCTTTTTGTTTCTTTTTGAAATTCCTATGTGCCTCATAAGTTTGGAGATTTTTAACCAACTGATCCAGCTTGAGATTGTTAACATCTTGAGCCTCCTCAATAGTCGTAACTTTTGGTTGGAACCAATCGGGCAAGGATCTCAAAATTTTTTCCACAACTTTGGATTCTGGTATTTTTTCACCTAAACTGAAGCTGGAATTTACAATGTCACTCAACTTCGCATAAAATTCATCAAAGGTCTCACTATCTTTCATTGAAAGGTTTTTGAAACTAGACGTGAGCCTTTGAAGTTTTGAGCGTTTAACAGAAGGAGTGCCCTCATGAATAGTTTGTAAGATATCCCAAGCCTCTTTTGCGACTTCACAATTGCAAATTTGACTAAACTCTTCAGGTGTGACAGTGCAAAAGAGAGAATTGATAGCTTTACTATTCCAGCTACTATTTTGGTAATCAATTGTGTCCCACTTTTCAATTGGTTTGGGGAAAGTTACTCTATCAACGGTAATTGTTGGTTCGGTCCACCCATACATGACAAATTGCCAAACTTTTTCATCAATAGATTTTAAAAATGATCTCATCCGAACTTTCCAAAAAGAATAATTGGATCCGTCAAGTAGGGGTGGTCGAACCATAGAATTTCCCTCACGAATTGTATCCATTATCACAAATCAAACAAGATCTCGCTCAAAAGTTTTAAAAAAAGCATGACCGTTTGGAAGAGGATATCTATCAATTTGAAAGGTTGAAACCCCCTCGTTTTTTTGACCGTTGGAGCTGATAGTTGGAACGCGCTCAATTTGGCAGACCTGGATAACGGTCTATTATGTGAGATTGGACTAATATTTCTAAGGGATTCCTTGGGCTTGGCCCAAATCTGAACCCAATAATGGGGCCAACAAATATCTGTAGTAAAATAATATTAAAATAATAAATTTGTTAAACTAACAAGAAGATTATTGTAGAGAAAAGAATGGCACAAAATTATTGCAAGTAAAAGAAAGGGGTGATAGAGAAATCCTCATCCATGCTGACATGGAATTTTTTATTGAATTATTACTTTTTAAATCCGTGACTTTATAATTGGAATTGTCAATTAATTACAATATGCGGTTTGCACCATCTACTTTAGTGAGCAAGGCTCCAAAAATATAATGGTTTACACAATATAATTTATATAATATTGATGTTGTCTATGTTACATTTATCTTGGCTTTGTTTGTCATCACAATTATAAAAATATTCACATTATTCTATATAATTTTTTTAAAGTTTATTATTTTTCCTGTCAAAAA